GGGAATGAATATCTTATAAAATAAGATTAGTGTATGTCAGATAACTGAAACATATATTCAAAAGGCTCAGTGCTTATCAATGACAAATTGTAGCAATCTGTGGGTGACATTAGCTCAAAAAAAGAGATATTCAGACTTTGCAGATGTCGAACAGGAAACCAGACAAGCAGGAATCAGTCAGTCAAATAAATGATTCATAATTTCATACATTTATTCCTCTCAATGAATTTGAATAAAGCAAGAATAGCAGTTTGTGCAGAATAAGACAGTACCATCATTTATTTCATTGGCTTCTCACAATCTGTGAACAGCCTAAATAAATTATTAAGTTTATGTACAGAAAAGTTTGTTAGCCTACTAGCAAAATTTACATGATGTTAGTTGACAGGAGGTTCCAACCTTGATGAATAGTACTCATAATCCATTATTTTATCCCTAACTTCCTATTTCGACAGAAGTTATGAGGTTTCTTTTTATTTATAGGATGTGATATAAAAATGAAAAGCAGTCGGGAGGTTTTATATGACAAAGAAACCACTTACAATTACTGGAGTGCAGATGGAATGCAGATAGTCATCTAACGAAGCTTCAAATACAGTGAACAATTCTTCACAGCTCTATATATCAATTATTTACTTTACGTTTTTTCAAGTAGTTTTCAAAAGGATGTCACTGTCGATTAAAATTTACTTCAATCTCACCAAGTAGCACAAAATTAGTTAATTACAGACTTTGCAATATAAATGTTTACAAAAGTTTTTAAAACACTAATAATAGTTAGCAAATAAATTTCTTTTCCAAACACTTTCATCGGAGATTAAAAAAATTTAAAACTTAGTTGTGTTATTTCGACTGATGATAACTAGCAGTGAAATCCAGGGTGCCCATATCGTTACATTCGCGGCTCGTCAGCTAAATATAGCTGCATCCCCAGTGAGAGACTATCACAGGCAGAGATGCTATTCCCTGCATTCATCGTTCCGAACTTTAAAGCGTTATCCACTAGGTTACTGAGCCATGACGCCTATTTCATCTTCGACATTCCAGAAGACACCAAACATATCAGTGTAAGACAATAAATCAACGGAAAATGGAAATTTACTGAAAAATTAATGTCTTTGGTGTTGCTAATTTCCGCGTCCTGAGTGTTGTCTGTTTGGATTCAACATAGAACTTGGCACCGAAGTGCAGCAGTTCGAGTTGCCACGTCCTAAATAGCACGCAAAGGTAAACAAGAAGATGAGTGAAGAGAATCAATAGAGTTTTGACAAGTATAAGAGTGAAACAGAATGAGTAATGGTAGAAAGGAATATGAAAGATTACAGAGACGGAATACATCTGCGCCATTGACAACGATTTTGAGCCATGCCACCTATTGTCTCTAGCCATTGATTCTTAGAGTCCCGAGGGCCTCAACCCTGAACTATGCATCTCCCCACCTGACCCAGTTTAACTGTCAAGGATTTCATGGATTGATGCCATGTTTTTGCTTGGCCAACGCTTACTCTTTTCCAACCTGCACCTATATCAGCTAGTAATGCCCGTCCGTCGGGGGAGGCGATGGTTAGGCATGCGCAGCACGTGACCTAGCCATCTCAGTATATGTAACTTTATAGCCTCGTCGACTGATTTCCCCTCTTTGCCCAACACTCTATGCCTAACGTCAACATTACTTACCTTATTATACCACCTAACGTGAGAAAGAGATCATAGACATCTATGATCAAAAACAGACAACCTTTTCATGTCCTCAACTCGCATTGGCCATGTTTCAGAGCCATAGAGAAGGACGGAGCGAACTGCTGAGCAGTACACACGTCCCTTGGTTGATAGCCGGATGTCACGCCTACGCCAGATACGGTGTAAGTCAGCGAAAGCAGCCCGAGCTTTCTGGATCCGTGCTGAGATTTCATCACCAATCAGTCCGTTGGTGCTGATACAACTTCCCAAATAGGTGAAGTGGTCAACATGTTCTATCACTTCACTCCCTATCACGAAGCTAGGAGTTGACGTAGTCCAGTCCTGTAGCAGCATCTTACATTTTACAGGGGCGAATCGCATGCCAAACATACGAAGGTTGCTGCTCAAGGTGTTCAGAAGACTCTGCATTTTGTCAGCATCCTCCCCTAACAGGACTATGTCGTCTGCATATTCTAAGTCCATAAGACTATTCCCTAGTAACAAGTCGATTCCTAAGTCGTTAAGTTCAGTTAAGGATACTTCCATTAGCATGTCTATGAGCATATCCTGAGTGCGAGCCCCAGTGAGTGCGTACTACTGAAGCATCACAGACTAGGACAAAACAGCTGTCCAGGACTCCCAGGTTTTCCAGTGGTCGTCTAACCGATATCACTTATTGACAAAATCCTGAAACCACTCAAATCCCTGAAAACCAACACTTGAATATTTTCTACGAGCTGATTTGTTCAGTTGCGCATCTTTAAGTATCTTTCTAGGAAGCATCTTTAGCGCTAACTTCATTTAAAGCTTCGTATTTAAATTATTCAGCGAAGAGAACACATCACCATTGAAGTCATCCACTTAAGGCACAAATCTCTCTTATTATTTCAAAAAATTAAAATTGTGCATATAATACACTAAGCACTAGGACAATGACAGTAGTACGAATAGTGGATAAATCAGCTAAAAGTGGCTCAGAGTTTCAGTGTCAAAATTGAGTCAGAGAGAAGATAATGTTGCTTCACAGTTCGAATAACTGGTTTCTAATCCAAACGCCGGAAAAAAATCGTGTTCAGTTTACATCTGTGTTTTTACAAACCTCTAAGCTGAAAATTCTGAAGAAATATTACTGCAACTCAATAATATTTATTTTGTCTGTATGTCATGACACTTCGTTTCATTGTTTTTAATCTACTCGCAGTTAATAATGACAGTGTATATCATGGAAATGTTTCACTGGTTCTATGGTGACACTCTCGGTATCTGTTTGCATAGCTGAAGCCAGATTTTCTCTTATCAAGGCAGATTAGCACTGATTAGTTCAAGTGGAACTCACACACAATATTTAGACTATAGGTGAATGGTAGAATGCACGCCTACTACACATGTAGTCTGGAGTTCTATTCCCGGTCGGCACACTCTGAAACATCACCTAGAAAGCCTAGAAAAAGCGGGAACGTTGGGCGTGAAGTTGGCAGCCACACTCTGCAAGAAAACAACGTCAACGCTTCTGAAACTTCAAGGAAGCTTAAAGACGTATATTCTAGTCAGGACACAAATGAATGAAAAACAATTTAGGCGGCTGTTTCTTACATCGACAGCTATCTTGTCTCAATATTAACGTCTGTCGATGTAGTTGAGCAATGAGTGTGTTGACCATCTTTTCACACATTCATGCTGATGTTTTCATTTTTAAAAAATACTTACAGCTTATGTTCATTACAAGTTATCAGAGTTTGACTAGAATGAGGCAGATTACTAGCGCTCTCGTATTGCAGTGTAAATAGCTTCATATTCATTAAGAAATTATAAGTATAATAACTTAAACAGTCCCATAAGAATATAAGTGGAAGAAATGCAGTCGATGGTTACTTCTGTTCACTTGAAGAGAAACAACAATGGAGTAAGAAAGAGTCGGTTATTTTTTTAAAAATATTCAAGTTGTACAGTGGATTTAAACAAATTGAACTTTAGAAGGCTAAATGAGCTTTTTAGAATTGTAAGCAAATGTTCTTTTCTCCTAAATCTAAAGATCGAATAAATCAAATTATCAATAAAAGTCGTATGTTTAACAAAAAAACAACCTCAGGTGGTTTAATCAGTGTTCAATCGTTTGTTTTGAATTTGTACTTTTGCATTTTAATCAAAATACAAAACATTTCTCAGTTGTATTTAACTTAAATTATAGTTTTTCGATACTACTATCATTTTAGTTAGTCACTGGCCTTAAAGTGAAGTCAGTTCACCTGGGTACCAAATTTATTCACATTATAAATGACGAAGTAATTACAATCCCACATATTTTTTATTCCTTCACGTTCACAGTGGAACATAGGGTTTCAAGCTAGAGGCTTGAAGTTTCTGTAGCAGTGTTTACTTTTGCAGGATGAGGTTGCTAGCCTCATGTCCAACCTTTCCTTTTTACCAGCTTTAATTCTAGCTCAGCGAAGTGAAGGAGTGCGTCGGCCGGGGATCGAATGCCGGACGACATGCATGGTAGGCGAGCGTCCTAACCGCTGTACCACCAACGCCCTCAGTTTTACAGTTCCATATTAGATAAGTTTATCTGATATAGCACACTGTGATGCAGTGTACACGTCTTGAGCACAATCTACCTCTCATAATCACATCAGTATATTATTAAATCATGTGGTGACGAGTTCATAGCCTCTACCAGGTAAATCCTTTTCGCCGCCTTCACGAGGGGAGAATGTTCCTCACAAAAATGGAAGGATGAATCAAAACGCCTTGTGCTTACAATCAGACTGACAGACATGCTGGTCCACCTGGAAAACCTTGATTTCAAACCTGTGTTGTACATAAACTCCAGAAGTCGAGTGGATAAAATGGAGTATGGCCACTGTTTTGGCCACCGGAAACCATGGGAATGCAGCTGCTGATGCTTCTCCACTTCTTTGTGGCTCACATTTAAAATCAAAGGCTTATTGGTTAACCCTTCAAGGCACACACTTGCTTAGGTCTGGGCATCCGAGTAGCCTCCCAGCCCTCTTATTAACTATGAGATTTTGTGTGGAGCACCTCTATGCACCCAAGTTTGTGTTTTAATAATTAAAGTAATATTTATCAAGTCGTATGCATACAATTATGTCATCCACTCACTTATTAGTACTGTACTACTCTTTTTTTAAATAAACGTATCATAGTGCCTGATTTCTGCTCTTAAATTAAAGCCATTAAAAGTCCCCAGTAGAGAATTCCCTTTGCTTAAAACAGAAAAACACAGTCTATGATTTAAATGCAATACCAAAAAAATTGAAGTGTTGAATATAATTATATTAAATTTATTAACAAATGCCTACTACTTGCTGTCTGCCAGTCAAATCACTCGACCGTTGTGTTGTCCTCCTTCGTTTGTACGGTTGACTGAATGTTGGCATGTAGGTTTTTAGTGAATTTGGCCATTTTGAACTAGGAATACGGAAAAAGAAGCAGAAGAAAAGTAGAATTAAACTGGCGTCAGTTTTAGAAAAGACTTGAGATCAGACATTTTTATTGTTTGGTTAGTCAGTGCTTATTTTTGAGTTAAAGTCTACTGAGTATTTCATAGCGTCAACCAGAAGGTTCTGGGTTCGAATCCCGGTGGGTGCGTAATGATGAAGGGTCCCAAACTAGGACTAAACAGCTGTTCAGCACTCCCAGGTTTTCCAATGGTTCTCTAACTAATGTCAGCTCATAATGAAAATCCTGCAACCAATCAAATCCCTACAAACTAACACTTGGATATATTCATGACTTGGTTACTACCTGATTTCAGTGAACCAAGCAGGGAATTATCTGTTTACTGCTTGTCTGTACTCTAACTTAAACTACAGAATAAATCTTCAACTATGTCCTTTTAAAATAGATGTTTTTCTCGATGATTAATGCTCTACATTATTCACAGACATCCAGGACGAGAAATGTTTTATACACTTCATCAGTAGTGATATCAATTGATAAATCACGGTCATTTTATGCCTATTATTGCTTATTATTGTTCTCTTGGGTTCCGAGTGGAACATAGGGCTTCAACAGAACGCTTTCCTTTTTTCCTATTCTCTGCGACCCTCTTTATCTGGGTTCACGACTGCCCATAATCTCTCATCTCCTCCTCACACGATCTTCTCCATATCACCCTTGTGGTCTTAACGCGTTGTTTCCCATTCAGGTTCCACTAGAGCGATATCCTGGCATGTGTGCCGTCATTCAGTGGTCTCCTCAGAGTGTGTCCGGTACATCTCTATCCTCCTCGACGTATTTGAGCAATAAGTTCTTCAATGGTTCATTCTCAGAGTTTTTTGATGCTAATCGTTTCTGGCCATTCGATCTTCAATATGGAACGAAGGTAGCCATTGATGAAATTCCTCAATATGTTGAAAATTCTTTATCTGCTAGTTCCTAATTACTGTTGGCCTATTTGTTTACTGCAGTCTGAAGCATTTAGACGTTTCTGTGAGGCCATACGTCATGCTGCCCTCACTTTTTATATAATACAAACTCCCATGTTATGCAGAATAGACTATGACCTCATTTACATATTGATTATTTTTAAACTAGTGAACGTCCACAGAAATAGTCCTTCACCAGTTTGTATTTTACTTAAGGATTATAGAATTTGTTTCTTCAAAATCAAATGTACCATTTCTGAAATTTACAGTCCTATGTACGGCTGACACAGCTTTCTAAACTTTTGAGCAGTGATATCACTGTTATTTGTTTCTAGCTTAATTTGCATTTCCCGTTGATTAATTATGGTAAACTGGAGTTTTGAGCCTCTGTTGGCGCCCTTAGTGGCCTAGTGAATATCGCTTTGGCATCTCAAAAGTTTGGTTCAGGGTTAAAGTCTCAGAGGGAACAACATCACTCACTGATGGTACAGGTTCATCTAGCTAACAAGTCCCAAATAGGACGTAATGTGCATCTTGGACTCCATTGCTATTCACCAGCATCCTAAATAAAATGTCAACATTATTATTTCATTTGAAAATCAGGAACATCCAAATGAATATATTTCACTGATTTAGCACTGTAAATGCTTTCATTATTGCAAATATATAAACAATGCGATACACACAGTCACTTGTGGTCAGTAGTAACGAAATATCAGTTCAGAGTTTGGGAGAACGTACTCTACCTAATGATCTGAGTTATTTACAACCATTGAAGCTGTTATTTGTTTTTGAATAAAGCAAGAACAACAGCTTTTGCAGAATTACATGGTACCATCATTTATTTCATTGGCTTCTCATCAGCTCCTTACAGGCCAAAGACATTATTAAGTATATCTACAGGAACAATTTTGACATACTTGCAGAGGGTTCACTTTTAAACAAAATCAATCAATATATGCATACGATAATAATATATATAATAATCATAGGCACTTCATCCCGAACAATAATGATCACGCACAATGGAAACTTTCTGCATTACGTAATCAAATGAAAGAGAGGGTGAGCAGATATGTTCATATCCAACCTTGAAAGAACAAAGTTGAAGCATGCAGTCAACGACACAACTTCTCATTGTCGATATGTTGATGACATATTTGTAGCGTGCAAAAATGAGAGTAATGCTTCCTACCTACTTAGATTATTCAACGAGGTACATACAAATATTGAATTTACTATGGAACATGAAAATGACGGTAAGTTACATTTCCTCGGCATTACCAAGCAACGCCTAGAAGATGGTAGTCTTCAGAAGTCAATTTACCGCAAGCTTACTTGGATAGGACAACGTCTACATTTTAATAGTTTTTGTCCAAACTGCTTTAAACGTGGATTAGTAAAGACTCTATACTTTAAAGCTAGGAGATTATGATCTATAGAGAAATTAGAGGAAGAATTTGTGTTTCTCGAAAGGATGCTGAAAAACAATGGTTACCCTCAAAGGTTCATTAACAAGTACGGAAGATCTGAAGTCTCAAATGTCAAGCAAATCACAGTGGCGAAAAAGCTCATCTACATTCAACTTGATTTTAAAGGTGTAAATATTACAGCAGTTGCCAACAAAAGATTGAGGATGTCACTAGGCGGAGCCTATTTCGCAGCTAAGCTTGTTCTCGTTTATCGAACAACTTGCTCTTTGGTGCATTCAAAAGTCAACAGATATTTTTCTCATGTTAACTCCAACTGTATATACAAATTTACATGTATCTGCGGGAGCAGTTACATTGAAAGAGAAGAAAGAAGAGCATACCTCCGATTTTCTGAACATGTACCAAAAAGCCTATGTCAAAATGAAACAAATGCTTTATATGATGCCGTCGCCCGGCATCTCCTTGACACGGGTCATAAGGTGGACGTCGCAAGATCATTCAAAATTATCAAGAGACAAAAGAGTTAAATTCTCCTTAAGTTTGGCGAAGCTGTCCCCATCAAGCGTCTGAAGCCTGAATTATAAGTTCAGAAAGAAGCGGTTATCAGTATTTCCTTACCCTGGCGACCTGATATTTTCACTCTCTCTTTCATATGATTACGTAATGCAGAAAGTTTCCATTGTGTGCGATCACTGTTGTTCGGGATGAAGTGCCTATGATTATTATATATATTATTATCGTATGCATATATTGATTGATTTTGTTTAAAAGTGAACCCTCTGCAAGTATGTCAAAATTGTTCCTGTAGATATACTTAACAATGACTTTGGCCTTTAAGGAGCTGATGAGAAGCCAACGAAATAAATGATGGTACCATGTAATTCTGCAAAAGCTGTTATTCGTGCTTTATTTAAATTTATTAAGGGGAATAAATGTATGAAACTTTTATTTGTTGTTCAGCTATTTAATGAGATTTTTTATTACTTTTTAATTTATTTATTAAGAAGAGGAGTTCCACGTAACACTCGCAATAAAATAATAACCCGGTTAGTTGTTGCATTTCATAGCTCGTTCACTAGAGCCCATTGTCGGTAGTTCGGAGACTGCTGGTTAGAATCTCCACGTGACCCAGACTTTCATTTCAACCTCAGTCACCACTGATTACACGATTAGAAAGCAGATAAACAACCATTAGATTCAGAAGTATATCGTAAGGTTTGCATTACGTGTTACTCGAAATGCTACGAATCATTAATATTTCTAAATAAAACATGGGATATTCTGCATTAAGGCCAGAGATAAACTTAAACGTCTTTTACCAGAAAGGGAACCTATTCAAGGAAGTATTCTTCTGTCTCCTTTTTATAATTAATGTTAAAAAGCTTTTGGTTCGGTGTAAATGCATGGAAGAATGCATAGGTCAGTGTTATCTTCCGACTATGGACACAACCAGTCATACTATCATTCTTTAGTGTACTTACTCCAGCGTATATCCGATTTATTCCTATTTCCTCCTGTGTAAGTTTTGGACGACAGTTTATTGGTTGGTTCGTTTCCTGGCGTATTTCCTTATTGCTAATCCTTTCTGGACATCTGATCTTCAGCAGTGGGGTAGCGGTGGCAGTCTGAACTGTATTTGATATGCCTTTGGAGATACACCAAGACTCTGAACTATACAAAATCACTGACTTGAGATTAGTGTTTAATTCCAAATCTTGTTCTTTATGCTAAGTACAGCATATTAGCGGACTCATTTCAGACTGGTGAAGTTATGTATTACCTCTTCTATCGTGGTTGGCTTCTACATCTTCATTTTCGCCCTGGCCTGCGGTTGAAACGATGTTTTCTAGATAAGTGAAACAATTGAAATCCTTCAAATTTCTCCCAATGATGATGATTAGCGCTTGCTGTAGTTGGTTAGTTATCTTCATCACCTCCATCTTGTCTATGTTCGCTTGAAGTCCTGTCTTTGCTGCCTGTCTATTTAACCAACTTGTTGGTTCTCTCCTGTAGATCTGTAAGTTTGTATGACATCAGAAATAAGTCGTCCGCAAAGTCCAAATATTCTAGAGTCTCCTTACCGGTCCAATGCATTCCTATCTTCTCGCTGTCCACAGTCTGACGAATAATCCAGTCTACCACAATTAGGTATATCGTCGGTGATAATAGGCTGCTTTGTCTAACTCTTGTATTCACTACAAACGTCTCGCCAACTTTTCCGTTGGGGGTTACGTGACATATGGCATTATGATACCGCTGCCGAATGAGGTTGATAAAGATTTGGGGCACTCCACGCCACAGTGTTGAAGTAGTTTTCAAATTACTTTACTGTCAACTTTGTCGAAAGCCTTTTCATAGTCAATGTCGTTGAAGTAGAGATTTCACTGTCGTTCTGTGCTCTCTTCGACGATCATGCGTAGAGATGTAATTTCATCAGCATATGATTCGCCCTTCCATGGATCCAAGCTTGTTCTAAGCAAGTTTCTCATCCACTGCATCCTCTAGTCTTCTCAAGATGGCGCCACTTAATATTCGCCTGGAGAGGACAACAGCATAATTCTGAGCCAGAGTTCGCAAAGTCCTAAAGCATCCTTCTTTAGTAACTTGGGAAGGTAGCCCTCATTTCGATCGGTCTAGTCATGCTACATTTCCGGCTTTCAGTGACTTTAATAAATTAATTAAGCTAAATTTAAAACTCACAGAAATAATATGCACAAAGTATGGCATTTAAAACTGTTTTGTAAAAAATATGTCAGCAGTTTTTTGCTAAGTCTCTCTGTTCACCTACCTGGGTGTATTCCATGAAGGACCAAGTTCTAACCAAAATTCTTTCGTTTTTACTGTGAAAAGTTTAAATAATGATGTGATAGTTGATTCCAACAATAAGGGTTCAATAACATCCACTACTATATTTGGATTATAATTGGGTATTAGTTTCTCTTTCGCAGAATTATGCACTTTTCGAACAACTCTTATTAAATAGACGAAAACTTCTTTTGATAAGTATGGAAGAGATTTTCTAATTTTTTCAGTAATATTTAATGCAAATTTAACTTTCTGCAATGCATCGATAGTGTCTGTAGCATTCGGTGGTTGACTGTCGGTATTTTTAGTATCACCAGCTGAAACAGAGAAAGTAAATAGAAATACATGAGGAGTAAATTTATAGCCGACAAGAAAACTAAGGGGTATATACTTTAATTAAATGAAATGAAATAAGAATTTAAATAAGAAATTAGTTCATTCCTCAACCCTCTCTGTATCTATTCTGTCCTGATTGTAGTGGATTGGATCATGAGGAGCTAGAATACAGGCAAACATTGCACTGACGAGAAGACATTGCAAGATCTGGATTTCTAAAACTAATGTCAAGTCAGTTTATTAATGCTTCTGTATGGTTCAAAGAATTGGTACGTTACCGAAACCATCTCCAGCTAGCTACCGCAGGCTTTCATCTACAGCTGCCTTCACTTGATACTGAAGATCAGCTGGCCAGTCAGATGGAATTATCAACAAGGAATTCTGTTAACGAGCCAACCAAGAGTCTTTTGTCTGACAAATACTCCGAAGAAAATAGAAATGGATCAGACACTCTTAAAAGACATCTGAATGACATCGTGCGTAAGGTTGTCGAGTGGAAGCCAAATGGGAAACGACGAGTTAGTCGTCGGTCCGAGTGTGATATGGAGGAGATCGTATAAGAAGGGGACAAAAGCTTATTTACAGTCATTCAGTCACCTAATGAGGACTTCAGAGAACAAGAGAAAATGGAGAATGTACTGTTGAAGCCATACATTCCACTCGGAACCCAGAGAAATAAAACTACTAATAATGAGCCCACTCACTATATGTAACCAGAATAAAACATAGACAGTGTTTGATTTCTCACTGAAATTTGTCTTACACCACTTGTTTCTACAGTGCCGATTGAACAGTATATGACTACATCGAGTAATCTCTATTCGTGATATAGTAAATAAGTTAACTGAAATAATAGAGAAGATTTGTAGCTCAGGTGGATGATTTGCAATTAATAGTGTTCTCTGAACTGGTTGATTTAGCTGCGGAGCTTTCGTCTTCCTTCTGGAAATCATCTTCAGCGCAATATTTAGCATAAAGTGAAATGATTTAAATCTTTCATGAGCGATATAATTGCGTCTCCTGGTAACCATCTTTACATATGTATTGATCATTTTCTATTGACTTGGATTTTAATCCTTCTGTTCACATGATTTACTTTTTATTAGTTGGTATATTTCGTCTATATTAACGCGTTTTTTAATTGCATATTCGTTTGAGTACCAAGGTTCTAGGAATTCCCTGTCACTTTTGGTGTTTCCTCTGTCTAAGATTTTGACATTATCCCAATCAAATTGATGACCATAATTGTCTATATGCATTGATACTAAAGAATACATATCGTGTCTTTTCACGGCTGATTCGTGTTCTTGGATTCTGATTCAAAGGGGACGCCCACTTTGGCCGATGTAATGCCTGTTACAGTTCATACAATTTATTTTGTAAATGGTATTAATTTTATCTCCTTTTTCTTTTGGATTTTTCAGGCTGCATAATATCGAAGTAAGCGATTTAAAATTCAAGTCAATAGAAAGTGATCAATACACAAGTAAAGATGGTTACCGGGAGACGAATTTATATCACTCATGAAAAATTTAAATGGCGTCACTTTGTGCTAAATATTGCACTGAAGATGTTGTCCAGAAGGACGACGAAAGCTCCGCAACTAAACCAACCAGTTCAGAGAACACTATTAATTACAAATAAGTTAATTCTTTATAGACTGGGATTAAGTCATTTTATTTTATAAATTCATAGTTTTATGCAAACAGCTATTCACAAATACTACAGACCTGAGATTTGCAGTGCAGAAGTCTTACATCGTCTGGAAATATAGATGTGAACACTGTCTGCATGGTGATTATTAATTTCTTATATTATCTTCATCCAGTAATTCTTTGAAATCTGATTACCAATTTTCAAATGCTACAAAATGTTTAATGATGATTGTACTGAATTCAGATTCCTGCAGAATTGAGGGTTTCATTAATTTATTTATTATCTCATCAGTATGAAATCTTAATTAAGGAGTGAATTCCTTCTTTTTTGCCGACTAACAACTTATTTTCTCAGGTTCAATTTGAAACATTTGAAATATTGATTATTTTCTTCTTAACATTAAAGCTGTTGAGTGTGTTTTTGAGTAACAATTACAGTAACACTCTTAAATGAATTCTAAATGAATTCCTCAAATGAGTTGTGTGGAAATAGAATATGATACTGCTTAAGTTTTGTAATTAGTGAAAAAAGAAGTAGTATATTGTTAATGTCTGCGGTAAATCAATAACTGAATCCGAGATCAATAGTATACTCGGTAAAGATAAGCAGCAGCATATGCAGCCTTAGTCGAGAGAGCAAAATATCTACGACGGATGACCAATTTGTTAAACAAGAAGCTTTTAGGTTAGTTAAACAGTATCCGAGGAACTTGGCTACACAAAATAACATAAAAATCAAATGAAATAAAGAATTCAGCTGTTTGAACATTATTCAGTTGATGAAAAAAAACGATCGACGAGCAGAAGAAATATTGGTAATTTTTATTCAAATTCATTAGGATGAATGGATCCAAAGTGGGGTTTACTCATAACCTAATATGTTTGAATGCTTCAGCAATATGCTGGCATTCTGTCGGTCAAGAAAATTTTTGATTTCCTGAAAATATATCTTTCACACCTCCTTTACCATACTCTTGGTTTAGTGGCCACTTAATCTAGTGAGAAGAAACTTCGAAGAGAAGCTAGGATATCTTGGTAACTTTTGTCTCTTTTCTACCCAGGAATTTAACTACATCTTCATAAGTACTACTATGAAGATGAACAGTTATTAGTGCTGATTAAATGATGGTTTGATTTCATCGATTATTTAATACCTAGATATTAGATTTAGTTAATAAGTAGATTGATTGAAAAGTGTACTAGATATTTTTAGTTGTTCTGACATAAAACATATGACTTTCGAGTGATATTAAGTTTTGACTACAGCTAACACGTGGTGCTTATGAAAGTGTTGATCACACTTTACACAGCCTAACTTCTTTTAGGCTTATGCATTTAAAGTTTATTTTAAAAAAAACAGCTGAATAGTTTATAATGATATTTGTTATACATACACAGATATACTTACTGCTTTTTTCTGCCCCATGACGATCTAATGATCTCAAAAACTTTCTCAAGTTTCTCTCGAAATATTCAATATCTTCGAGGCATCGATTCAACATGTACAAATCTCTTCCATAAGCATCATCCTATAAAAGTAAATGGTAGCATAAAAAATGCATTAAGTACGATATTTTAAGTTAGAAATAATGAAAACCAGAAAGTATATATGTATATATATAAACAAGACCAGCATTTATTTTCTTCAGTGAATAAACATCAAAGTAAATAAAGCTTCTATTAGGTAAATAATACGGTGATTAGGTAAATTACACATTACATTTGAGGTAACTTAAAAAATTTAATTGGGCACTAGATATTGATGAATGCCACGCGTTTAGACCCTTGTTTGGTGAAGACTCAAATCTGTCAGTCAAGTTTACAATGTGAACACCATCTCAGGTGCCTCATTATCACGATGTACCCTGAATCGTTTTTATGAGATGATTGGAGGCAGTCAGAAGGTAGCTTTGGACTTAAGTTTCATGCTTGTTAACAGTCGTCAGCAAGGCATATGTGAGATCTTGAAGGAACTCACATTCCTTCTGAAATTTCAGCGCTTGTCACCCAACACTGAAAACATACACGTCACTACTGATCTGTTAGGCCTTATGATAAGAAAAACAATTCAGAGTATACCATGTTGACGAGGCATCTAGTGTGATGGCTACATTGTTAACTTTACTGATAGAATTCAGTCTGCATCTGTGAGTCGGTGGCACGGTGGTTAGGACGCTCGCCGACCATACACATGGTTCGGGGTTCGATCCCCTGCCGACGCACACCTGATATCAATGGTTGGCCTGCAAAATTTGGGCTACCAACATCACATACTGAAAATTCCATACTTGTACCAAAAGTACTGTGTGGTTTCAAGCTATAATCGAAAAATAAAAAAGACTAGACGGCTGTAATCAATTACTACTTAGTGTCCAATCAAAGTATCAAATGCAGTTCTGAAAAAGGTCAGTCACAAGCAAAAATGGCTCAGTAGCAATGCCTCTGACTGCAGCACTGGGTGACACGAGGTTGAATTTCAGAAGCGATATGAATTCCTTCAGGATTGAAAATATGTTCTGATGACGAGTGTGAACAAAGACGAAACATAGGTCCAAGACTTGCTGCCGATTATCTCCGCCCGTTTAATATCTTAAAAACGTTCATTATAGGTATTTAACCTAAAAAATAATATCCATCGCCACTTTATTTGATTTATCATTCTGAAACTTTAACAATCTTTCTTATTAGGAGCCCGTTCATGAAAAAATTGCATAACTGCAAAAATTGGTCTCTTTAATTAACACGTTTATTATTCTAATGAGATGGCTGAAATTTTAGCAAAAACTTGAGATACTGAAGGAAGTGAGTCATCAGTCCGCCAGTTATGAGTACAACTAAGCCGGTGGTTCCAATCTTTGTGTTGTTAGACGGTTAACTTAATGCTTATCGTTATACATAACAATTGGAACAAAGTTCTTGAAAAAGGCTGTATGAAATAGTTACGTCAAATTAACAGATTTAGGACTGAAAGACCTGGTCAGCCAACAGTTGTGATTATAATAATGATGAAAAAAATGGTTAAGTAACATCCTTTCGTTTGGCAGCCAGTTGAATCTCACCATTGTTTGAAGTGAAATTAACGCATGGGGTCACACTGCAGAAATATCACCAACAGATACATAAATACTAGTGAACACAAATCCTTCAACAAAAACATAATTCTAGAATGCCATGTGACTACTGAAAGCCGAAAAGACAGCAAGATCGAATGGAATTCCTTCGGAAACACTGAAAATGTACCTAGAGACCTAGGTAGACATCCTCACACCTCTAGTGAAGAAGGTTTAGAAAGAATGGTAGGTACTTACAGAATTGAAGAGAGGCTGCCTTGTCTGAAATCCAAAGAAGGGCTGCTTAAGCCTTCGCAAGAACTGTCACGAAATCACGCCCCTATCCATACTAAGCAAAATATTTAACAGTATCATCCTGAAGAAAATAAAAGGCGACTATAATGGAAAACCCCGCCCTGAAAAGATTGGGTTTAAGAAGAAAAAACAGTGAGCTGATCACACTGAGGCACAGAACATCTTCGTTGAGTAGAGGCAAGAGTGGCACACAGCTCTTTACTTCAACTTCTTGGACTCTGAAAAGACAGTCAACAGTTCCGACTGCAGAGTAACTTGCCAAATGTTGCAAACATTTAGAAATCTCATGCAGTAGCCATACAATGATGATGACAAGCATGCCAAGCAGATTACAGTAGAATGATGACTGAATTCTTTGGAGTGAAACCAGGAGTAAGAAAAAGTTGCCTACTATGACCCATTATCTCCCCAAATGTGGTGGACTGGATCACGCAAAAGATCACTGGAAGCAAGAAGACGGACATGCATTGAACCAAAGAAAGGACCCTTAAGATATAGATTTCCCGCATGACTTGCCAGACGTCTCGCAAACTTGAGTATCAACAAGTGGAAACTAACAAGCTATCATAAGAGGCATTGCAGAAAGGAGTTCAGGTGAAAAATAGAGATACAGGTGATTGAAGAACACGACTGACAACAACAAACAAAAGTTACTTTGTCTCTTTCACTCACATAACTGGGCAGCACCGTTTCGAATACAGTATCAGAACCAAAAGTTTATTGCCCTAAAGTCAGTATTGAGGTCTGTAACACTTGGCATTAGTGTCAAGTCATTGCTTCTGTATAGTTTAAAGACTTGGCGAGCATCCAACCACAAGAATTTCCAGTAGGCTGTGGACTTTCATTAGCAGCTGTTTCAACAATTAAGATCAGATGGCCGATGGGGAAGGCTAAGCGACAAGTAACTCTGACAGGCACTAAGCCAGATGACAATTTTCCCCCAAAAATTATGGAGAGGGAAATGGAGATAGATTAGATACACACTCATGATACCAGTGAGTGATGCAACATACCACATACTCCTATGGAAAGTAACGAGTTGGGCGCGGATCTGAGGGTAACATTGAGGAGATCGTATAAAGAGAAAAAGAGATCTTGAAGACAGTTGTGGAGCCAACTAAAAACGAAGGCGGAAAATCGAGTACACTGGAGATGTGCTACTAAATCCCTATACTCCACTTGCAACGCAAGGACCAAATAATAACAGTAATAACCACCATAACAGCACTGAAGAATTCGAAACACTAGATCAGTAATGTAATGACCACTAGTTCAAATTCTTCCCCTAGCATTGTCTTCATATCAGCCTCAAGTGTCTTGGTATAAGGTAGCTGTTTGGCGCTGCTTGGGTTCCTATGATTCTCTGACTGATATCGCTCCGTGACCATACCTACAATGAAATCAATCATAACCCTTACAAACCCTCGATTCCGATTAATAATCATACCGTCTTTAATTTAAGAACGAACTGAAGACTCCCACAAACTTAATAATAATGAAGAGCAAATACACATAAATCTGTGTGTGGTAGATTATAATGTAGACTTTATTACATTTATTAAAAATATTAGTTTGTCATAACAAAATTATTTAACTGATAATGGCACCAGGATAATTGGTAATCAAATAAAGAAAAAGCCACATGGTCAGAATAAAAGATCTACTTTTCTGTATAACAGTATGATAAATCTCTTATCTAGATTATTTTAATCAATAATTTATATATTTTTTCTAGTATTCATATGATTCCCACAGACCACTTGGAATATACATCGACGTAATAATGCATTTGACATATTTTCCTCTAGATTATACCGACTTACGAATAAAGTCGATTTCAAGTTTACTGATGAGGGCTACTCGACCACTGTTTAGCCAGATTTCTATTGTTCCTGATAAACGATGTCCCTTGACTTATTAGATTTCTCAGTGATTTATTAGGCTTACTGAATGTAAGAGAATAATTGTACCAATTAGTGGAAACTAGTACCGTACAGTGTAAACATCCAAACATTCATTTCTTGTGGTATAAGTATGTCCAAATATATCTTTCTTATAATTTCATGGGTAGCAACTAACAGTGGAATCCAGGAGTCAGGTTTCATCCTATTCGAAAATCGTCATCTGGATTTACCTGCTATTTTCAATGAGTGGTGGTGATCCCACTGAAACTAGAATCCAACACAACATCGTTTCAAATTCTGTGTTACCCACTAAGCCACGGGAGCCAACTCTTCTGCAAAGACTATCAGTTGTTATTAGTTTAAGTTAATTTTTAACTTCGCGTTGGTTAATCATATTAGACCGAAATGTCTGGCTTCTGTTGATATGTCAACTCTTAATATGAATGTCTCAACGATTTGTGACGACTAACTTGATGTTATTTGGTGGATGGTAACTAGCAGTGGAAACCATGATACAAATTCGTCCCGTTCAGATCACTACATTTGAACATATCATTCATCAACCACCAAGTAACAACATGGTAATCTTCAGGAATCGTCAAGGTTCGCTTATTAGGAGCCGTAAAGTCAACAGAAACCGAACATTTTGGTTCAGTATGATCAATCGATGGCAAATACAGAATTAACTTTAAAAAATAAGAAACTGGTTACAGGATTTTCATCATAAGCTGACATCACTTAGAGAACCATTGGAAGACCTGTAGGGTGTACTGGACAGCTGTTTTGTCAGCCTAGTTTGAGACTCTTCATCAATATGAATCCACCGGGACATTCTGGTTACAAGGCAAGTTCATAAACCATTTAGCCACTAGGACACAATCCAGTGGCCAGCCCATGAATTCCAACTTCCGCCAATTCCTTACATAGCACGACCTCTAAGCAATGTCTTCGGCGAGTATTTGTCCTCACACCTAACGTGCTGCACCCTACTGGTCATGACGTCCCACTAGAACCTCAAGTAACTACCTACCTGAATAGGAACAGTCGCTAATGAGCATCTCATTGATTTTTTTGAAATATTGGTTTGTAGGGATTTGATTGACTGGTTACAGGATTTCATCATGATCCGACATCGGTTGCAGAACCACTGGAAAACCTGCTGTGGAGTCCCAAACTAGGACGAAACAGCTGTCCATTACTACCTGCAGGTTTTCCAATGGTTCTCTAACCGATGTGAGATCATGATGAAATCCTTTAGCT